GCTTAATAAGGGCTAATTACCTTCCCGGGAAGAGACAGCTTTTCCAGGTAGACAATGGGGCTAAAAACAATGGCTTCTCTGTAGTTGTGCAATTAAGCATTGGTTTTAATTAGCCCAGATGGGTGTCATTTTTTATTTTTGGATGCCTTTTGCGGTGGGTCCCGGTCTCACTCTGTAATTCAAGGGATGTCTGAATAATTCAAATTAATTGGAGGGGAAGTGAGCCTATGCGAAGGGCGGTGTTCTAGTTTAGTAGATGAGGAAAGGGATTTCTGCCTGTTCCCTGCTGATTCCGTAGGTGAAAATGGCCAGCCCTGTATCAAAAAGGGTTTGACTGACACATCCCCCCTTCTGTGTTTTGGAACCAGGCCTCGGTTTTCCTGCTCTGTAAAAGGGGATTAAATGGGAAGACTTGTGTGGTTGGAGTAGAAAAATCAGTGTTTCCCTGATAGTCTTCATCGTAGACAATGGCTTTTTGTTATTATTTGCTGAGTTGGAGAGGAGAGAGCGACAAGAAGTTTGAAAGAGCTTTATTGGGGAGGTGGGTGGGTTTCCACAAAAGTCTTGGTTCCAGCAGTAGTTCAGATCAAGGTTTCTGGGAAGTCTACCAAAAAAGATGAGAGAACGTCCTTTGGTTTATCCTCCTCATGGCTTGGTCATCTCGAGGTCCGCTGCCTCTGATCCTATAGATCTGCATTATCCCCAAATATGCTCAGAGGCAGAACCACGGTCTTGAAGAGGCATTTTCAGAGAGCTGAAAAGGCTACCATCCACGCCTCAGGAGGGATATCAGAGGTTTCTGAGGAACCTCATCCCCTCAAATAAACAAGGTGTCAATATTAATTGAGCACGAAGAAGATAGGATACATGACGATTCAAAGCCTTGACTTTCAATGTTCAAGGCTTCTCACCTGGACAAACTTGTAGGTTTTTCGTCATCTCCACCTCAAGATTTGAAGACAACGGAGCGTTCTTGTAACAAAGAGGTTGGAATCAGATTTGTCGCCCATCTGTATGACATGCAGTGATCGTCTTAAGGTTGTTTTTCCACATAGATTTTGGGCAACTAAGTTTGTCATGTATTTATTTGTTGAATTTTACTCATAGGCCGCCTTTTGTTCCTGACAAGGGGGCTCGAGGCCGCTCACAATATTAAAAAGAACAGAACTTGAAAGATAACAAGTGAGACTTTTTTAAAAAAGCAATTAAACAATGTGCTGATTAAAATACAGTTGAATTGTTTTTAAAGCAAGCCTATTAAGCACTATCTTAATTTGAAGATGGTATTCGGGGTCTCTGTTGGGATTCTTGAAAGCCTGCCTGAAGAGATGGGTTTTCCGCTGTCCACAGAAAAATGGACAAGCGGGGGTCAGCTTGATCTCCTGAGGGGAGGGCATTTCATAATACTACAAATCCCAGAATCCACTGCCAGTAGGGGGCATGAGCCCGGCTGTTGAGAGGAGGATGGGAGATAGAATCCAACAAAGGAACTTTTCCAAACTCTAGCTGATCCTAGTCAGAATGCGGCAAAGTCTTTATATATCTGGACTACAACTCCACAAATCCCCTAAGCCGAGCGACTCGCGGCCGTGCCGCTTGGGGCGGTTTGGGTGTCGGAGTGGAAAAGCATTGCGTTTCCAAACTCTGGGCCTCTCGGGCTTGTCCCTAAGCTGGCGGCGAGCGCTTATCTTTGTCAGCCCCCCGCCACCGCCTGCCAAGATAAACAAGAATGGCTTACATGTTCAGGCTCTGGATTGCTCATGCACGCCATCGTAATTAAATAATCATCCCGCAAAAGACAAAGCATTCATTGGAACTGTCAATCACACCAGGGCTGGTGGAGGATTTTTTTGGGCGGGGGGTGGTGGAAACCAGGGAGAGGCCTGGACCGGCTTCTCCACCCCTCTGCCCCAGCAAGATTTGAAAGGCAAGGGAACTCGGGTGGGGGGGGTGTACCGTAAGCACATCTGGTGGTTGCCAGGATCGTGTGGTTTCCCCGAGCAAGCGGGGAGACAAGGAACCCGTCTTGGCGGGCATCTGGCTTCACTTTCCGGAAGCCGGCGGAACTTGGGGGGGGGGTGCACCGTGAGCACATCTGGCAGATGCCAGGATCATGTGGTTTCCCCGAGCAAGCGGGGAGACGAGGAACCCATCTCAGCGGGCATCTGGCTTCGCTTTCCGGAAGCCAGGCAATGTTGGGAGAGGCAGTGCGCCCGTGTTCATGTTCTTGCCTATGCCATTGCGGCCGCGCGGTGTGTGGAACCCCCTTGTCTGCGTCAAAAGGTTAAGCCGCTTGAATTTTCAGGTTGGGCAGGCATTTTGTGGTCTTGGAAAAGCCCTAAAGCCCATGGATTCCTGAGTTACTTAAAAAAAAATTCTTACTCACTGCTTGCCTCTCCTTCCTCTGGGTATTGGTTCTCCGCACCCATCCTGCCGATTTATTTTGAATTCTGCACAAGCCAGGCGAACCCCAATTGCTGTCAAGTTGCCGCTTACTTATGGCAACCTCATGGATGAGTGCTCTCCAGCATGCCCTGTCCTCAAATGCCCTGCTCAACTCCTGCAGACTCAAACTTGTGGCTTCCTTTAGATAGTCAGTCCATCTTGTATTTTAATCTCCCTCTTTTCCTTCTGCTTTCCACTTTTCTTAGCTCCTTATCTTTTCCAGAGAATCCTGCCTTCTCATGATGTGTCCAAAGCAAGGCAGCCTCCGTTATAACATTTTGGCCTCCTGAGAGAGTTCCAGGTTGGTTTGATTAGCATTTCCTATGACATTCCTTTCCCTCAAGGCACACCTTTACTTCCAAGCTCCATTCCCGAACCACCAGATATACCAAGGACGCCCATGCTAACCCTGTGACAACCCAAGCTAATTGGAGGCAGGGAAAGTGGGAAATGCTTACTTTGCCATCAACAGATGCCTTTTACTTCTTAAGCCACCTCTGCTTCTAACCATGTGCCGATTCTCTCTTGTTCGAGCCTACTTTTCTGCCATCCTTAGAAAGCCCGCATCCTTTCGAGGAAGAGCACATCTCTGAATTTGGGAAGGGGGGGTTGTTGGAGAGAAATGGCTCACAAATGCTTCCTCCTGGCATCCCTTGTTTCAGCAGCAGTAGCGATTTGGGATCACCACGAACATTTGACTTTTGATCGGGTTCCCAAGCCATCTGCTGCACTGCAGGGTGTGCTTTACAGATGTAACATTGACATTAATTAGGCAATTACCATGGAATGTGCTTTACGAACCTGATGCCTTGAGTTGCCCTTCTGCAAGCATTCGCCCCCCGGGGTTGAAAGAACGGAGGCGTGCAGGAAAGCTCAGTCACCCTGTTTCCAAGGAGAGGCTTGGGGGGGCCAGACGTCACCCCCAAAACCCATTCTATCTGGAATATGCTTTATTTAAAAGCTACGGTGCTCCTTCCAAGGTGAATCGGAGCCCCCCCCCAAAAAAAACTTTCAAGGATCTTCTCTTTCCCTTTGTGAAATTTGATGGGGATTTCTCTCTATTTCTTTACCTGCAGGGGGGAAAGCGTCCCTTTTGGTTTTCATGACGGTCCTGTCATTCTGGCTTTAAAAAATGTGGGCCATACCCTAAATGGATCCGGATCCAGCCCCCCTCTTCCACTATCTCCCCCCCCCCAGATTAATCTGGGCTAGCAACAATATCTACTCTTTTTTTTCCCCCTTTCAATTTTTGATACATACTTTCCAACGTTTCATTAACAAGCCCAGATTCCAGGAGGTGATTCATAAAAGCACCGGAGTTGACAGCTCCTTCACGGGAAGGCTCACATCTCGAGGGCTTGTCTCATCGGACCGGGCCGATGACAGAAATTTGGCAAGGGCGGGTATGAATGGATGAGGGGCGAAAAAAGATCATCCAGGCATTTCATTATTTCGACAAGCAATCGGCGCTGGTGATGATAGAGGGCCGGCTCAATGCGATCGTCATTTTCACTGGGAAAACTTGCACCGTTTTTGGGTACTATGACTCCCATAATCCCCATGCAGTCGGCATTAAAATTAAAATTTAGGAGCAGTCAGATAATTCCACCCTCCTTTACGAACACAGAAATGAACATAACTCTACGGTGGAAGGGTCGGACAATGGCTTTTAGACGAATGGATCCTCCATTTACAAGAGAAGTCTACCTCTGAATAGTTGCGGCAGGCAACTAAGAGAAACTGCTCGCAACCGTCATGCTCAAAACCTCAAAGCTCAAGGGTTTGAGAATGTTGCCTTGGGGGGGACTACATATCCCAGATTCCCCTAAGCTGTATGTTCAATAGGTGAGGGATTCTGGGTGTGGTGAGGATCTGGTTTTGAGTTCAAAGTCTGGAGGCATATTTCTTCCCTCTTCTGCTTGTTCAAATGAAGAAATCAGACATACATATTTCAGATTACGGCCAATACAGCACTGTCTGCTTTTTGGTATGATTTTAGATTACGCACTCACTCAGAGGAGATTCAACTTTATCCCATGTGTGGGAAAGTTACTTGAAAGTTACCCTGCAGTTCTAAGATTCTTCCATCCTTCACATAGCTGTGCCTGCTGGTGACTCCAGTTTCTAGGGTGTGGTGAATCCACTCCAGCTTTTAATTTGTGCTTGAGGAGAGCTATCCAAGGTGCTGAACCCAATTCCCACAATATAGGTTCAGGGCCTTGAGTAACTCTTGTCAAGTGCAGATGAAAACCCGGAGCGGATGCCCATGCCTCCTCAAAACCAGAGGCCAGGGACACCGAAGTCTCTATGTAGGGTCAAGTCTCCGAAAGTAAACCTTGCAAGAGGGTAACCCAGATCCTTCTTTGAGAAGTATGTTTACAATTATAGCTTTAATGGTTTATAGCACAAGTGGGGCAAAAGGTAGATTAAGAACTTCTAGGTGTTTGATGATGTTTCATTGGGAGAGGTTGGGACTCTCAGTCTTTCAGCACAGTCCACCACCACCACAACAGCAGCAAACAACCACTGCTGGATAGTTCAGTGGTTTATGTATCTGGCTGGAGAGCCAGAGGTTGGCAATGCCTCCTTGACAGATACTGGACTTGAACACTTCCATGGCCTTGCTCCCATGGATGTGTATATAGAAATACAACTTTCTTTGCCCAAGCTATGGACAAAATGTATATTATTCTATGCCTCAGCCTTCTCCAGCTGTAAAATGGGCCTTTTACACATATAGGTGGTCAGACAACACAGTTTGATGTTTCTTGAAACTGCAGTTAAAAGGAACCAGATTAGGTCTGTGCACGTAACTGATAATAACAGCCTAAACGGTCTCTCTCTCTCTCTCTCATGCGTGCCATTGATAACATTGGCTCTCTCTCTCACACACACACACATATGCATGCCATTGATAACCTTGGCCAGTGGTTCCCAATCTTGAGTCCCTAGATGTTCCTGGACTAGAACTCCTAGAAATCCTACCACAGCAACTAGTGGTGAAGGCTCCTGGGAGATGTAGCCTAAGAACATCTGGGGGTCCAAGATGGGGAACCGCTGGCCTTAGGCAAGTGAAAAATAAAGCCCATCCCCCCCTGCTTCTCCCCCAAAGTCCTGAAATCTAAACTTCTGGATAGCCATCAAAACTTTCTTTTTAGTTTAGTTTGGGTTTGTTTGTTTTTTCAAAGAAATTCCCAGCATCTGGCTAAGAGGGGTTGATTAGGGAGGGGAAAAAAATTAATTCATTGACTGGCATTCAGAATCTGCTGGAATTACTTTATTTGCTACAACCCCCCAGAAATACATACATTACCCCGCAAACACAGCTTTCGTTTGACACCTAGAATTCTGTTCCGATTCATAGGCAGATGAATGGGACGTTGAATGCTGGGGAGAGAGAGCCTATGAGTTGGCTGTGGATATGAGCCTTCAATCTTTATTTCTTTTCTCCCTAGATGCTAGAGACACCCGACCTGCCTGTCACTGACCCACGTCGGACGTGGATCTCATTTGTACAGCGTCCTGGCGATAGCACCGCGGCCAAAAAGAAATGCAGAGGGAAAGATAAGAAATTAGTAGGTTATTACTGGAAGCCTTAGCTAGCCATCATAATCCTAGAGGTGAAACTCAAGATTTCGTCCAAGCTAGGACAGGCCTGTTGAAAAGAAGGGGACACACTGAATATAAATCTCATAGATTTCAACAGATCTATTCCAGCTGGCATTAAAATAGAATGTAACCTGTTATAATATGTTTTTCCTGGACTGGCAGCAAAATTTTGTAGTGGCATGCTCTGGTTCAGAGTTCCAGCTGAACACTCTCTCCCCTTTTGAGGGCACTCCGTTCCATCTGTGTACCTATGAATAAAATATTGGCCTCTTCTTTTCACCTCTGAAGAATGTGAGGTTCTGGTAAAATTTCTGATATTTCATAAGAAGCTGCTCTCTGAAATTTTTCTGTAGTGCTATAGCACTACAGCGCTGTAGCAGTACAGAACGACAAACCAACATAGCTACATGTTTCTATAGATTTATCTACATAGAAAAGCCAAATTTTACTTATTTATTTCAATACTCTACACTAAGTTCCCCATGGGCAATCACACTATGGTGTGAGCAATGAACAGGAAACAAAATGAAGCTATGCAAACGAAGTAGATAGAGCTATGTAAAGGGGACCAGGCTGGATTCTGAACAGCTAGAAAGGGGATATGAGGAGAGGCAGATTTTGAATAATTTCTATTTATCTCTGTCTTTATGACCATGGTGTTGCATACAACATATAGATGTATAGCTGGGAGACACCGTTGAACAGTCTAACAAATATGGAGATGGGAAAAGAAATAAGCAGAAATTAGATGCATGTTGTGTATTCTATATAAAGCACAAGAATGGAAATTTGTAACTGGTCACACATGAGAAAAACCTTTGTTTCTAGGCTCATTCTAGCTTGGATGACTCCAATTTCGGGAGTCATGAATCCTTTCCAGGTTTTAATTCTTACTTTACAGTTCTTGTCAAGGGTGCTAAACAGTATCCCCAGCACCTTGGATAGTTCCTGTAATATGTCCAACACCTTGAGTAACTCCTGTAGCATGCCAACTAAAACCTGGTTTGGACTCAGAGCCCCTCTGAAGCTGGAGTCACCCGCTGCCACTGGCTGAGAATGAGACTAATTTGAGGCTGATGGATGGACGGACGGACGGACGGACGGACGGACGGACGGACGGATGGATGGATGGATGGATGGACAGGTAGCATCATAATATGCATCCTATTTGTCTACAGAATGTTTTTTTCAAAAATATTTTCTCTCTGTTCTGTCTTTGTAGCGTGGGCTAGTCGGTCCACCAGGACCACCGGGTCCTCCCGGACCTCCTGGCCTGCCCGGTGCTGAAGTCACCCAGGAAGTCTTACTGCAAGAGTTTAAGGAGATGTTAAAAGGTAAACCGTTTGCAGAATGGTCTCTCTCCTTCAAGGTCAGCCTCCCCCTTCCACCACTCTTCTTTTGCCTCTGCTGCCGAGCCATCACCGGATGTACAAAATGGAGCCATAATCCGGCATTTGTGAATTATTTCTTGCCCAATTGGTTAAGCCGGGTCACTTGAGGTTGGCCTACGAAGAAGATGGAAGATGGGTTAGAATACGCGGGTGTCTAGCACGTGGTAGCTGTGCTGATTCTAGGGATGGGATTTTTTGACCTCTTGGACTAAAACCCCAGTGATTCTCCATGCTGAGAATTCTACCAGACTTCTTACAGACATCAAAACATCTCCCACTGGGGAGAATGGTCTCACTTGAGAAGGTGTTGAGGCTTAGCTAGGCCTAGCTCCATTGAAGCTTCCTGTTCCTGCCCCAGTGCTAGCTGGGAGATTTCTTTTTAAACAGGAAGCTAAGAGGAGCTAGGCCTAGCTTAGCTGCACAGTCGTCCAGGGTTCCAGTGTTACTTTCAAGAAGAAATGTTTCATATTCAATGGTGCAAAAAGTGAAAACATGTTTCTCTCTCTCTCTCCTTTTTCTTTCAGAAGCTACTGAACGGCGGGCATCTTCTGAGTTGCCCTCTCATCCCAGTGAGGTGCCACCTCTGCTGTCTCTGGAGGAGCTTTCGCCCTATAAGAGAGTGGAGGAAGCCTTCCATTGCAAACTCAAGGGCCAGATCGTGGTGGACAAGAAAACTCTGATGGAACTCCAGAACTTCCAGATGGTGAGGAAAACAATAGAGGGGTGTAATTCCTAGCTTCTTTTCTCCACGTGTGCTAAATGAGAGGGGCACGTGCCAAGAATTCTTATCGTAGTAAGACGGCAACATTTGGACCGCAGGGTTATTCTCTGAAAAGAATATGCGCACCTTTCAATATTTGCACCAAACAACCGTAACTGCTGCCATGTTGTTTCAGGGACTTGTGAGAGAAAGAAGCAGTGGATGGGTTGCTTTAATCTTTTTTGATCAACTGGGCTGTCCTTTTCTGCTTGCTGCCTCTGTGTGTTTAGCTTCATCAGTGGCTTCCAGGATGCACTGCAGATGTTCTCAAACCTGGAGAGTGAGCAAGTTAGTAGCATGATTATCTCTTAGAGTTGTGGCTTCCAACCTTGGGTGTCCAGATGTTCTTGGACTACAGCTCCCCAAAAACCCTGGACAGTGCAGCTCGTGGTGAAAGCTTCTGGGAGTTCTAGTCCAAGGATAGCTGGGGACCCAAGGTCGTAGAGGACGGGAAAAGCTTTTTTTCACCAGCGCAATCCTGGTGCCACCCTAATTGGCGTGGAGGACAGAGACTCAAGACATCATAATAGCCATCAGTGCCCAAGCTGAAGCCATAATGGATGGAGTCAGTGCCTTTCTAATTGCTGTTGGCGAACACCCGGCCCCTCCTGTGCCAAGGAGCGCAAACGTGCCAGCTTTTGGGAAGCCAAGCAGATCCTGTTTGTAGCATTAATGCGGAGATGCAAGGGGGTGGTGGTGGTTCAGTGATAGGCATTGTTGACACGATGACAGAGCCCTGTCTCGGAGCGATGAAAGGAAAAAGAGGCCTTCTTGTGCCCGGGTTTCAACACCCCCTTGTCTTCGCTCACAACTCTTCATAGAGAGCGTAATGGGCCCTGATCTTCATTCGTTGTCTGAGGCATGCACTCCGTCGTATTCATGTATGGCCTTCTTTAGCAGGAATCAAAAATGATTACAATCCCCAAGGGCCATCCGCCCACACTCTCAAATAGAGATGGATTTTTGCATTTTTCTGGACAACAAATATTATAATTCCCCATACTGGGTGTTCTGTCTACCTATCAGAACCTAAATGTGATACTCTTGGGAGAAAGGCCTGCATTAGGAGCTTTTGACCATCAGCTAGGCCTAGCTCGGCCCACACTTCCTGTTCCTGCCCCAGTGCTAGCTGGGAGCTTCCTCTCTTTTTTTCCTAAGCAGGAAACTTTTGGGGAACTAGGCCTAGCTAGGCCTCAAAGTCCAGAAAATATGAATATCCCACCCAAAGTGTAGCTCAAATACTCAAGCCACATCTTCTTCTCTAACGAAGAAGACTGTTACTCTCTGGAGTGCTTTTTTTTTCAGATATTAACTAAAGCTCACTTCAGATCTCCATGTAGCCCTGGAGGGGTTGCCCATGAGGAAAGGCAGCATCGAAGAACAATAAATGAAATAATAAATAAAAAAGAGAAGCCACTTATGAACTTCTCCTGGGCCTTGTCAATTCTACTAGGATTACCACAAGGGAGAAGCGACTTAAAAGCACCTCACAACACACAAAACATTTCCTGTCCTTATTTTTAACTTCCAAAGCGCCCTAATACTCCCAAGATCTAGTTGGTAAGGGCTTTTTCTTAATCGCAAGCCACACCTGACACCAATTTTCGGCTTCCTGGACTCCCACAATGACTCTTTTTACAGTATGTACATGCGCACGCCTGTATGAGAGAGCCAGAGTAGTATCACCACAGCGAGAGAGAGACATGAAACAACAGAATCAAATTATCAAGCGGTAATTTACTGGTGCCGGTGAAATTGTCTTCCATTTCAAGTCGGCGGTTTTGGGGGAATTAAGTCGCCGCCTCCGTTTAAGTTTAATTGCTTTTAATGAAACATCAAGAAACCAAGCTGTCAGGGAGGACTGGCGGCTTCAGAGAACCCAGCAAGAACTGTATCTGGAAGGGGTTCTGAAGGCCTCTATAATAACCCACCGGGGGTGTTGAGAGACCAGCGTGGAAAGTTAGAGTTGTCATATCAATGATGTGACTGGCTGGTTGAAAGGAATTCAACCCCGGGTATGGTTTGGGGACAGTTTTTAGTCTTCCTGCCAGTGTTCTGTAGTGGTAGTATTCCCCCACAGACTAGCTATGCCAATTGTGGGATATTAATCATGGGTTGACAAGTCAATTCAGATTTACAGTGACCTTTTCTGGGATTTGGCAGGTAGAGCAGTGGTCTCCAACCTTGGGCCTCCAGATGTTCTTGGACTTCAACTCCCAGAAATCCTTGCCAGCAGAAGTGGCAGCGAAGGCTTCTGGGAGTTGTAGTCCAAGAAGATCTGAAGGCCAAAGGTTGGGGACCACTGAGGTAGAGAACACTCAGAAAATAGTTTTCCCCTTCCCTTCCTCCAGGGGGCGCCTTGGGACAGTGCCGCTGGCCCAAGGCTACCCAGGCTGGCTCTTCTCCCAGAAGGCACAGTGGAGAATCGAACTCCCAACTTCTGGTTCCACAGCCAGAAACCTTAACCACTTAGCTTATCCAGCCAGCTACTCATTGAGTGGCTCACCACTAATTTGGAGACCTCTGGACTAGCTCTTGGAAGGTGGCCGTTTCTCAGTCTTTGACTACATTGCCTTTTGCTGCACCTCCTGATTTGAATCATGTTGTACAATCTTAACTTCTCCTCTGGCAATCTGTGCATATTCCCTATCAATTTTTTTAAAAAATTGTGTGCATGGTCTCATACACTTCCTTCATTGGGTAAAGTTTGTTGTGTGCACTTTTCAACTGCACATGGGATCACATTTTTTAAAAAGAATCTTGTGGTTTGGGGTATGTATTGAACTGCTGAACAAAAAATCTGCAGGTTACTAGTCTTGGAAGAGTCTTCCATAGAATGGCTTAGATTTCTAGCTGCAAAGCTAGAGGTTGGGAGTTTGAATCCCCACTTGTGCCTCCTTGATGGGGCTCAATGATCTATAGGGTCCCTTCTAGATCTGCAGTTCTACAATTATTTATTATCTCAGATTAGTTTGGAAATCTTTCCAGTCATGGCTGACAGGTTGAGCATCTCCTTGTATTTAAAAGAATGTCCTTCATTCCACAGCCTTTGGCCAAAGGAGCTTTCCTCCGAGGATCTGGACTAAATCTAACAACTGGGCGGTTCACCGCTTCCATATCTGGCATTTACCAATTCTCAGCCAATGTCCATATTGGTGAGTAGTAGAATTCAACTTATGTGGTTGGATGAGCTCACTTCAATGATCATAGCTTTTCTTCTAGGCAATCCTGGGAAATATCGCTTAGCGAGGGACTGATATTTCTCTCCTATTCATTACAGACAGCACGCCATTAGAAGATGAAAAAGCTTAACTGTTGAAAGGCATTTGATTGCTACAGGAGGAGCATTTCACACTTCCTGTCATTTTTTTGCAAACTGGCTCAACTTTGTTTTGTAATTGGTCACTTTAAGCATAGCAGGACAGCTGGGATGTGACGAAGAATCGTATCTCTAGAACATTAAAGTGATTTCAGCTTTTAAGGACATGCTGTCTCTGATGTTCAGGTTGGATCATGGTTGTTGACAGTCTTGGCCAAGAGTTAGGAACCCACAGGAGATCAGAGAGCTCTTCAGTCAGTGAAGGAGACATGTGGTAGAGCAATGGGGGATGAAGTTTTCAGGACCTCGGACAGCTCCAGGTCATCTTGGAACTCAGCTGAGGCCTTTCATCCACTCCCAGATCATCATCCACTGGGGGAAAAAACCACAATGCTAGAAATAGGAGAACTGCTTCTCCAGAATGGTGGTCATTTTAGTTTGTGTGTATGTAAGTAAGCAAGAGAGACTTTCTGTATCACCTTCCCACCCCCAAGAACTGGAAGTGAATTGGTCATGTTTGGCTTTCAAAGATAACACCTTTTTCAAAAGAGATCTGGTCCCTGGCAAGCCATAGAATTGTGTGTGCTTTACAGTCAAGATCTCCAAATCAGCACTTCTGTTTTGTGGCATGTTTGAGTTTCAGTAAATTTTGTTTCTCTCTCTCTCTCTCTCTCTTTTTTAATGCTTCGCATTTTTCTGTTGTTCTTCTAAGACCACAGTGAGCTGAAAAGCAAACTGCAGCTCCGCGCGAGAGACAATGTGCGTGTCTTGATCTGCATTGAATCCCTCTGTCACCGATACACGTGAGTGGCCAGCTGAGCTAGCACTGTAGTGTTCTAGCACTCTAGGCAAATGGGACGGCAACAAAATGTTTCAGAGTGATGGAGGGCTTCTTTTCTGGGGCTGCAGCGTTTCCATCCTGCTTTCTTCCACTCCCTCCCTTTCTCTGGCTTTCTCAGCACGAGCTGGACATGGCCTATCCAGATAAGGGAATTATTCTCCCTACACCAGTGGGGGCTGCTATTCTTCATTTCACCAGCGTGATGAATGCGCTTTGGGTTTCAAGGTCCGAACTTTAATAGGAGCTCTCCAAGGTGCTGGAGGGTACCGTTAGATGATCCAGCAGTCTGGATAGTTCCTGAGAACATTGTGCTAAAACCTCACAAAATCAGAGCCATGAGTCTTCACTGCTCTACTCTTTTTCAATGCAATCTATCTGTCTTGTGTACACAATATATATGTCCTTTTTCTCTTCCTCTCTTCCAGCTGTTCTACTCTATTTCCCCTTCTTCCCTTTCAGTATTTTTCTGCCTAAACAATATTCAGTGGGTAAAGACCACTCTCTGTCCCCATTGTGCTGTTTTGCTGTCCCTCCATCCTAGGGGTTTTCCCCCCTTAAATATACACTAAGACCCCCCCCCCAATAGCCTAAGGATCAGTATCCACGGTTTCAGTTATCCGCAGCTTGTTGCAGCCTTATATACAACAAGCAAAGTGGAGGGATTTGTGGTCTTTGTCCTGCTCACCTGTGGTTTTGTCACCTCCTTGTGTGTCATATATAGGATTCACTACTATCCGCAGTTTCAGCCATTCACAGTAGATCGTGGAATGGATGCCCCATGGATACAGGTTCCTCCTGTGTTTTAGATTTCTGCATACATTGCCTTTCCCCAAATTTTGCTGACACGTCCCTTCACTGCAGGGGTAATGCCATTTTAATTAAATATAGCAAAGGTGATGGTATAGGACAGAGCAGATCCATTACTTACCTACTTACATATATAGCATCCCATCTTTCTCTCCTATTGGGGACCCAAGGTGACACACAGAAATGTTTTTTGAGGACTACAAATCCCAGAACTCTTCATTCAGGGAGTCCTACCTGACAGGCTCCTACAGACACCAACATGTGGCTTGGGACAAGCCTAAGCTGGAAGGCTCTATGGCTGAATATAGGCCTAGCTCTGCCTAGTTTCCTGTTTAAACAATAAAAAGTCCCAGCAAGTACCAGGGCAGCTTCCTTTTTGAACAGGAAGTTAGGCCTAGCTAGGTCATAAAGTTTTCCAGGCCTTTTTTTCCAAGGTGAGCCACATTTGAGTGTTTCTAGGAGATCTGTCAGGTGAGATTTTCAGAATGGCGAATTCTGGGATTTATAATTTTAAACAACAACAACAAATGCCACAGACCTACCAGCCACCATCGATACCTCCTGCCACATCAGGTAAAAAAAAAAGAAGTATGGTTCATCCAGTAGAGGGCAACAGTGTTCACCCATCTGTTCCAGAAGGTCCTCTTCATCTCTTTACCATCTGTGTTTCCATCTTGGATCTTCTCCCGCCTTCGTTGTTCTTCATCCTTCACACCTGGCTCTGTGAGCAATAACTCTGCAGAAACAAAGGAAGCCAAAGAAAGGAGAAAAAAGGGGGAAAATTAACTTGGAGGGCTTTGCTTGGCTGTCCTTGAAATCCCAAGGAAGCCATAAACCAGAGTTGCGTGCAAGGTTTGGGAACGCAGCCGAGGCCCCTTGACCCCCTTCCGTGCGTCTGCAGTGGAACTGATCTTGCCATTTAAAAAAATTTCAAATTTATACAGTTTATTGGAGGAGGGAAAAACCCAAGATCACAGTATCTGGAGCCTGGGGGAATGAATTACTGGTACTGTTCTCGACATTTTGTTGGCCAGAACAACTCTTTAGGGTACTAATTGTGCTTATTTATAACAAGAGCGACGGTGATCCTCTCATGCCCTTGTTAACAAGATCCAAGTAGGAGTCAAACCCAAGACATCTTTATTAAGTACTTATTCCCACCCACCCACTGAGCCACACTGCTTACACCCATTATGGCCCCTCTCTCTCTCTCTCTCTCACTCTCTCTCTTTTAGGTCTTTGGAAGTCATTGCTGGTCTGGAAAGCAACAGTAAGATCTTCACCGTTTATGTCCATGGGTTTCTGCAGCTACAGGTAAGACCAGCTGAGCAGCTTATGTGAATGTCGTTTACGGCAGTGGTCCCCAACCTTGGGCCTCCAGATGTTCTTGGACCTCAACTCCCAGAAATTTTGGCCAGCAGAGGTGGGGGTGAAGGCTTCTGGGAGTTGCAGTCCAAGAACATCTGGAGGACCAAGGCTGGGGACCACTGGTTTATGGGGTTCAATGATTCATGACAGAAGATTCTGGCCACAGGACCACTGATGACCAGTGGCTTTCAGCTGGTAGCTCTCAAAGCTTAGACAAAGTCCGTTCTCTGAGTCCTGCCATCTTTTATCCAGATGCTATGTGTTTTCTTACAACTTATGGTGACTCCATCATCTCCCTTCAACTCTTGTAACCCCAAGCCAGTGGCTTCCTTTATGGAGGCAGTCCATCTCCCATTTGGCCTTCCTCTTCTCCTGCTGACTTCAGCTTTTCCCACCATTATTGTCTCCCCTTCCCCCATGGCTTTCATCTTCTCGTGACGGGCCCAAAGTTATGGGAGCCTCACCTGAGATATTTTTTGCTTCTTGAGAGAGTTACGGCTTTATTTGACCTTGCTCTGACTTATTTTTCTTCCTTGCTATTCATGAATCTGCAAAGCTCACCCTGTCTAATGAGGTTGTCCCATCGGCAACTTCCAAGTGGGTGAAAGACGATGGTTCAGGAGAAGATTAGACAACCTTGAGCCCTTCATATATTTTGGATTACTGATCATTAGTCATGCTACCTGGGTCGGATCACCGTGACCCAAAACAACAAGCCAGCAAAGGAGGGCCTGCTTATGATTTAAACACCCAGCCTGTTACCTCAGCCCTAAAGAGGACCCAATCCACCGGTGGTGGTTCTTCAGCTTCCAAATAAGGCTGTTGGGTCGGATCCTTGGTGCTATGAATAGGTGCAGAGACCTATAAGCTTATTTTTGTTCTGGGGATCCCATGCCACTTTGAATAGACTTGGTCCCCTGTAATGTAGGAAGCTCGTTACTTTGGGGATCCTTCAAATGATAACGGCAATGTATTATTTTTTTAAAAAGTCACTTTCTATTGTCTCTAATTGGAAGGAGTCTGGCATTATAAACGCGACTTGTGTAACTGGATTAGATTCCTCCCTGGTTTTGTTTATTCCCTAGAATGTCTTGGAGGTACAGAAGGAGGCAGAGGAGTCTGTTTGGAGTGGTTTTGTAGGGGGCAACCACTATGCCCACTCTGGCTTTTAGCCTGAACTTTAAAAGAGCCATCAAAGGTCCTGGGATCTATCTGGCACTCCCAGCATCCCATAGCCAGCCAGCCATGGCTGGCTGTGGGATTCTGGGGAAAGGTAGAGGGAATGTAGATTCTGTAAAGTTCGGACTAAAACCCAGAGTGGGTTCACTACCTCTTCCCATGAAATTAGTGCCATTGATATGAGAAGAGCCTTGAGTCCCCCCTGATCTGGATTCATGGCCCATGGTGGGTTCCTTCTCAAAGGTAGAGATCTCATTGGATTCCAACTAGAGATGGTGATGAACCAGTTCGTTCCAGTTCGTCCCAGTTTGTCAAAGCAGCAGCACAGGTGTTGCTGCTCCCCTCCCCAGCTGATCAGACTCTCACCAGGCCCAGCTTGCTTGCTTTCCCCACCTCCTGCACTAATCTCCCAGTTTAGCAAGAGCCCAGACTTCTCTGTCCTGCCCTTTTCTCTGATTGGGAGATCAGACAAGAGGGCGAGTCAGAGAAACCTAAGCTATTGCCAAGCACTGGAAGATCAGTTGAAGATCGTGGAGGCTGGACCTGGTGAATGACTGATCAAACCAGAGGAGGCGGGGAAGGGGAGTGACAGCACCTTGACGAACTGGGACGAACCGGTTCGTGCCCATCTCTAGTTCCAACTCTAGAAGACAGCTTGCCCTGGGGTGATTAATCTGCTAATTAACAGATGCACCGCTGCATATCCCTAACAGTGGGCTTCCACTCTTTCTCTCCTCCCGAATCCCTCCGCAGGCTGGACAGTACACCTCCATCTTTGTCGACAACGGCGCCGGGGCGCCTGTTACCATTCAGAATGGATCCGACTTCATGGGATTGCTCGTGGGGATCTAGCGCCCAAGGACCCCACAACGCCACATGGGGGGTGCCAAAGACCGACTTCTACATCTGGACCCCGACACCCCTTAAACCTGGCCAAGTCTCCACCTCTTGGCTGCTTTAGCCTTCCGCAGCTGAACGAAGACCCCTGTTTTCTTTGAAACAGGGCTGAACGACAAATTTAAGGCAGAAAGTTGTGCGTTTTACGACCGCAGTTGTTTCGGGTGCAGCTTGAAGCTGAACGTACAGGAAATTGCTCCCACATAATTTTAGCCAAGGGTTTGGTCTGGGTTGAAGCAAATGGTCAGATCCTGCCCTGGGGTTAAAGTAAAGTCAGTTTAGTAATCAAGGTGGCTCTGGAGCACAATTTAAATCAGGTGGGTGCTCAGATTACATCAGCCTATGAGTGTTTTTTTTTGGCGAGGGGGGTTATGAAGAAACCAAAAGCCCTGTAAACAAATATCCAAAGTGAGCTACATGAAATTTGGCAGGCTTGCTTCCCTCTTCAGAGACTCCTGTGCCACCAAATTTCACGCACTTCCATGCATAAACAAAAAAGTGACGGCCGTATTGTTTTTTTTTCCAGGGCACGTCCGTACGCTGACTTGATATATTTATGAATTCTTTTGAATCTGGGAGTCAAACCAAAACTGACAGAGTTCAGATAGCTCTAAAATGAAATCAGGAGATATTCAGATGCCCCAGATTGGCCTCTGAATGGAACAGTAGCCCAAGTTTGAACATTCTTCCTGGAACAGGTGTTTTGTAAAGCTAAGGGGCCTTGATTACTTTTTCAAAACAAAGCCACCCCAAAGGGTTTGAAATTATAACTGGGACCCCCTCATCACAGAGCATTACTGCTTTTAAAATTCACTCCTCCTTTCTCACATGCATACGCTAGATACGGTGAGGTCAGCTCAAAGTGAAGAGGGAAGCTTTAGGGGGATGGGGGTGGTAGATGATGGCATCATCCTTAATAATTGCAAATGCCAGTATCTCAACAGTGGGAGTGCCAGCTCCCCCTCACCACTGAGTAAGAGAAAAGGGAATGATGATTAACAGACAAAATCCTTGATTTTGTTTTAAGTGGGTCAATCCTTCACCCCTCACTCTTTCCGACATTGTCACAACCCTGAAGCATGTTGACATTTTAAACCCCCTGCCAAATTTTGCCAAGGGCTGCTTTTAAAGTTCTTCACAAAGGCTGCGTGTGTTGATAACAAAAATAGCTGAATAATAATTATAAGAGAAATAATGCTATATTATTTAAATTATCCTTGCTCGACGAGGCGCTCCGAGCTTCGCCCGGCGGAGGCCAAGAAATTCAAGACTGGAAGTGTTTTGTTGGGATGTGACGCTGTTGAGTTGCCTTCAATGGGAAACAGAGTTGTGTTGTGTTGCGTTGTACACACAGCCGGGGAACAAGTCCACATGGACACGCCTGAAAAGGATGGACTCACTGAACTGAACTGAAGGGACTGGCTAGTCAAGTTTCCATTGCTTGGAGGTCTCGGTATCGGACCAATCGGTGCTGATCAGTTGGCACCGATTCAAATCTCGCTCATCCGTTCTGGAGGAATAAGACTCACAATGCTGACTTTTGTGAGGCTTTGAGTATATGACTGCTATAAACAGGATGGCATGTTGCATGAACTGCAAGAATGCCCCCCTTGATTCACCGGGACCTAGATACATCCAGAGATCATTATCTTCTGTGTTCTTCTTAAAGGAGTAGTGGTAGGAAAAACCATTTCATTTTGCGGACTGTGGACAGAGAAGAGATCAACGGTGGTCAGGGCAAAGACCCTCAGAATTGCTGTCCAACAGAATGTGGAGCTGGTTTAGCTGTGATTATATGGTTTTTTTCCAGTTCGGGTTATTTGCACCCTTAATTTTTTTACTTCCTCTTCTGTCACCTACTGGCAGGTGGGATTTACCAGGAATCTCATTCTGATCACAAGTGATTTAGCGCCGCACTACTTCTCCTTTTCAGCACTCGCCAGTTTCCAACATGAGTCCATAGTTGTCTTGCAGAATTCCCCGCGGGAAATTCTAGCTGAAATTCTGAAAAGGCGGAGGGTGAGCATCGCAGGCAGTGCCGTAGCGCTAAACCTCTCAAGGAGGACAAAGGAGGACTAAAAAATAAACCAATGGTTTGGGCAGGAGGTAAAAAGAGCTGGGAAGTTGGAGATAAAAACCTGGTGAGACAGAAGGAATGTTTTCTTGGCGTTTGGAAAAACTCCAAATCTGATCAGGTTAAAACTCATCAAATGATAGTACAGACACCCATTGAGCAGATGTACCACCAGTAGTAAAGTTGTGGTTAAAGAGCATCATAGTAGACCTGGCTGTCTACCCTACCTGGAAATTAAGCAGAACATGCATGCATTAGCACAATTAGCTAAGGAACTAATTTCCGCTTAAGAACTGAATTCAGTTTCAGAGTAATCTGGATAATGAAAAAAGTAAAGAGTTCCTTTTAAAGAATTACAACTATAAAAGTAACTCAGTAGAGAAGCCTTGTTACTAACTATTTCGTAAAGTAACTCGCCGAGCTCTAACCGCAAGAAGCGCAGAGTGTAGCTGGACATTTAGCTAACAACTTTGAAAAGTAACTTGCCAAATGCTGATCTCAAGAAACACAGAACATAGCTGGGCATGTAACTAACTACTTAGAAAAATAATTTATCAAGCTCCTATCTCAAAAAGCACAGAAAATAGCTGGACGTGGGTTTGTCTATATATATATAGTATAAGAGGTGGTCAAGAAATGCAGGGGGGAAATATTGTAAAACAACCCTACTAGAAAGGCTATTCGGTTTTTTTTCTTTACCGTCTTATGTTTTAATAAGAGATATAAATAAATCTGTATGTTTAGCCCCATTGTGTACACAGCCACCCTCAGGGCAGGCAAAATACGGTTGTAAACACATCATCGCAGGGTGTCCTGGCTGCCAAGGAGCCTGGCATGGGATCAGCTCCCTGGCAAAGCAAATGTTGATGTCTTTATGGAGCAAGCTTGGCATCGGCGGGGATAAAAACATGTGTGGAATAACGCTGGGCGAAAAGACAGCTGTTCAATCGCTGTTCGGCGCTGCAGCTAAACTCTAGGTGGGGGACACGTAACACAGTTTCGGAGAAATTCTCGGGGTAACATGGGGTGTTCAGGGAAAGGGGGGAGGGTGGGGCCAAAATATCTACCTGTATTTGCCAAAGCGTTCGTACCGCCTGAGGCTTAGCCTCAGAACACCCTAGAAAGGGAGACCAGCAGATCCGTACAAAAATGCTGGGAGACCCTCGTCCGATCAGGATGTCGTGGAGAAAAGAGTTGGCCATCTAGGGATGGCCAGGTTAAGCCTTGAGTCCAAAGGTTCCTAACCCTGTGTTTTAACCCATGACATGGGGAACCTGCTATGGGCTTGACGGTGCTTTGCCCTTCAATCCTGATTGTCATCGCAGGCTAAGACAGACTCCATGCTTTCCGAGAGATGGAGGTTCGAATTCAGCCCAAATGTGATTTGAAAGCCCTGGGGGTCCAAGACATTTAAGATGGAACCCCCTCAAAGACCTGAGGCTGGGGGGAGATGAATTGGTCAGGGTTCAGCTTCTCTCGCCTTGTTTTTTTAGTTTAAATCTGATATTCTTTCATTTCGGAGCAGGATGAAGCCTGTGGATTTGGGGGCCACGCTGATCTAAAACATATTGAAATTAAAATGTATGGGGCATCAGCATCTGTTGAGAGATGGGTCTGTCTTCTGGAGAAGAACGTGAATCATACACGTGTGTGCACATAGAAAAACTTGGATGTAAGCAAAGGTCAAACATAGGGGTCAGATAAAAAAAATCCTAATTTGGCCTACTATGGGGAACATTACAAGAAAGCAGGATTCTCTGGAAAAGACCCTCATGCTGGGAAAGGTGGAAAGGCAGCAGGAAAAGAGGAAGACCCCCAATGCAAGATGGATGGACTCCGTAAAGGAAGCCACAAGTCTGAGTTTGCTGTGATGTGCTGTCAAGTCGCTTCCAACTCATGGCAACCCTATGAATGAGCCTCTTCCAACATGTTTCCTTGCTGCCTTCCACCTTTCTCAGCATGATCGGCTTTTCCCCACAGAATCCTGCCTTCTCACGAGGTGCCCAAAGTAGGACAAAAATTTCAATATTTTTGCCCCCAGCGAGAGTTCAGGCATCCACTGGTTTGTCTTTCTGGCAGTCTCACGCATCTGTAAAGCTCTCCTCCAGCACTACATTTCCAAACAAATCCATTTCTCCCCCCCCCCGTCAACTTTCTTCACTGTCCAGCTTTCACACCCATATGTGATGAATGGGAAGAAAAGCATGTGGATGATCTTGGTCTCTCTCCCTTGTGGCCTGAAGGAGAAAAGTCTGCAAACCCATTCTCACGGACACGACTTGCTTGGAGAGAGATGTGGGCTTGTGTCAGGGCATGAGAAGTGAAGCGCGAGAGACAGACACACAGAGAGAGAATAGACCGGCATCTCTTTTCCTTTCCTCCCGTTTCTAGCTGCTAAGGCAACTGGCCGAGCTTTCTCTGGCACCCAGACAGCTCCGAGGCAGGCTGTTGAATATTTTCCCTGGCAGAGATTTGACAGGTTAGGGGTTGTTTTTCTTTTAAAGCCCTCTTCGGATTTCAGGTTTTTGTAAATGATTTTAATGCCACGCTCCAGACTGACTCCATGGGTATTTACGTTGGATTAGCAGCGGCTTGCTTCCAGAGGGAGAGAGAGGAGGAATGCAGAGCATGTAAACTCCATGTGAGTTGTAAGACATTTGACACTATGCACAAAAACCTCTCCTTGTATTGACTGATTTATTGATTAAGTCACCGGTTTGATTGCCAAGCTCTTAGTCGTTATGTGTCATCAAGTTGCCATATGGATGGTGGCCCTCCGAATGAGTGACCTCCAAAATCTCCTCTTATAAATTCATCTCTTATAAACTCAAGCTTGTGGCTTCCTTTAGGGACTCAATCCATCTTGTATTCAGCCTTCCTCATTCCCTCCTGCCTTTCCCAGCATGA